ATATCCAAAATTCGCCAGCGATAGGACAAATGCAAAATGAATTAATAGATCATTTTTAGATCTACTGCCTTTTTTCAACCTCCCCTGGGCGATACAAGTTGACATCTCGAACTATTTTATACACTAGTCATCTTTCGCTTGTGATTCGAAATCGACAGCAACTGGTCGGTTGAAGTGTGGTTAAACTGGTAAAAAAACCGGCAAAAAACCGGTGTTAACCGGCCGGTTGAAAAGTTCAACCGGACCGGACCGGTAACCGGCCGGTTCGGTACCGGTTTCAACTCTGGTCTCGATGCCTGCACGGTAATAGTTTCCGATGAAAGCGTTAGATAGAAATAAAGTTGGTGTGAGCAGTTGCTTTTGTCCTCCTTTATTTTGAGCGAGATTGTCATCTTCTGGCAATTTATGAGATTTATATTTACCGCTTTCGTTCTCAAAGGGAGTCGAAAGTTTAGAGATATCACAGAAATCAAGATTAAAATCACCTTTTTAAAAAGGTGATTTTAATTTTGATTTCTGTAATAAAATTTTTCACCTTAAACAAAGAACCAATAGAGATATCAATGATTTGCTGTGAGATATTTTCCTATGAGCTTTACCTTTATTTTAAACTTTTGTTTATTAGATAACAAATCGAGGTCGAACTCATGGCATGTTGCGTAATAATTTCAAACCTAAAGAGAGAAGCCTGAGCTACTTCCTTTCTGATCCACTTTCTACAGATGCAAGGCATTGATAAACGATCACCTATAAGATGGTGGCTTGTTGTTACTATTCATGTTACCATCGAAAATCTTCAATCAAGAGATAAAAGAAATGCGGCTCTACTCCTTACTAGAGGCGAGCGTGTAATATGTGGATGACCGCTTTGATGAAATTCACGAATTATCTCTAGGTGTGCATCATTGCCTCGATAGTATTCGTTGCAGATTTGAACAAGTTCATCTTTTGATGTTTGTGAATGTTCCATTCGGAGTAGAACTTCAATAAACAGCTGAAACCATATGAATGAGCTGTTGTCTGATTTGAGATTTGTGTGTGTTCTATCGTAGATGCTGATTAATATCGAATCATTTGTTTTCTCTCGCTTCGCCTGATCTTTGCATATTGTCTCGACGAGCTCATTTAGCTCAACAATTACGGCTCTGATCTACAAAAACGACAGAAAATAAACGAGATCTGCAGAATTGTGGGGCATTCTAAAGAGTACACAGAGTTCCATGACTTGTTTCGTGTTTGTAGAACTCTCATAAGAAGATGGAGCGACAGTGTGCCACCTCCAAACTACAAGCGGATCTAATTTCGGAAGCATCCATCATTTAATCACGCCTAGACTAACCCACACATGCACAATCAGATTGTAGAGACAGAACAGAGTGTTGTTCAAAACTCTAAAGCGTTTCTTTGTCGACTTGCATGGGAAGACAACAAGAAAAAAGACAAAGTTCACCATGCGATATCGAGGTTGCATCAGCGGAAAACAGCACAGTCCGCATTCGGATACTCCGCGACACTCCGCTCACTTCGTCACACTCCAGTCTGGGAGTCGGTGAAGTGACCCGTAGGGCGCATAGTATGCTCGTGTATCAAGAGCAGAAACCTGTTCTATAGGATGGAATTTAAGTTTTTTGTCTATGTGTTTAAAACATTTATCTGCTCATTATTATTCTCACAGCAGAAAGAATTAGTCACAATGCTTCTACATCATAGTTATCTGAATCGAAAAATACTTCAGACACGTACAGAAAAGAAAAGAAAATTTTTTAATCGTCATAATTTGTATTACTCTTGACAGATAATAAATGTTTTTTCTTTTCTGTTAATAAACTATTTATTTCTACCGTAATATATGATTGTTCAAGATCCGATTTAATTGTATCAAATATTCTTGTACCAGAAAATGTATTGTGTTGTTGTTCAAAAAGTATCATTCGCTTTACCATCATCCTCATCGGAATTTGAACTATTCGATTATTTTGTTTTCATCTTCAACGGAATAATTTTCATGTGACGTATGAACATGCAATGTGACAATTGTCTCGATTTGTTCTGTATTTCATTGAAATAAAAAAGTTTATATAAAAAAAAATTTTCATTTGTAGCTGTTTCGGATTCAGAATCAGAATTATTTAATAATGAATAATCATGAACATTATTTGTTATTTATAAACAGCTAATGATAATTCTTTTAATTCATAAACATTATTTCTTTTTAATAAACCGGTCGTTTTTAATTCATCAATAAATGTTTTTGCTGTTTTAAATATATTAAGTATTGTTGTCTGAATATCATTCAGCGTTAAATTAGAAAAATCATTATTATTTGTCAAATTAACTGGCTTTTTTGGATGTTTATATTGAATAGGAAAATGAATAACAATATCATCAGATTTACTTTCTCTTAAAACTGAGGATTTAACAGCACGATTTAAAAAGCATTAACTGTACAATTAATAATTGTTGAACACACAGTATTCATTGCTCTTGAATTATGAAATGTCGCTTCACGTCCTTATGAGCTGAACAAGTGTATATTATTTAACGGAATGGCTATGGACACCACCGGTGGTGTCAGCAACAGCGATTGATACCTAGTGGATGTGGCGTGACAGTCTATTAACACCTGGGGGGTGAGAGTGTCTGTGAGCATAAGAGCCACGGAGATTGGACTATATCTATTGTGCGTTTCAAAAGTTATCTTTCAATGGTTTTCAAAAGTTTAAGTTGTTCGGGAAGCAATCAATTACAGTTTACGGTATGAGAGTTGATCATTTTTCAGAACCCTAGGAACGATAATTTCGTAAACATAGGTCAATTATTTTTTCAGTAAAACAGCAGTGTCCGAATACCTGAACTTCTGAAATGTAATGAATTGTAGGTAACTTTTAATGCAGCGCAGTAAATAGACAAATGGTTAAACGATTTAAAATAAAAAACCGTATAACTATCCCATATTCGACAAAGCTTCATGCGTCGTCGCCGATTTTTACGAAAGTGCGCTATGCTTCATTTATGAAAATACTGAAGAGACGTACGTTGATGAATATTTGATTTTTTCTGGTTAAAACGATTATTGTAATTTAGTTTAACCCATCTCAATGGAGCCGAAATGGCTTGGAGAAAATAAAACTTTTTAGTGAAAATTAGTTACGGAAAATTCCAGCTTGAGCATTTCATTTAGAAACTTTCTTATGCTAGATTTTTTTGTACTGGACCAAATCTAATGCAGTTTGACTATCGTATTCTGATATAGTACTTGTTTTGGTCGATTAAAAATGCTCTGGTCAGGAAAAAAGAAAAATTTAGATTACAATCTGGATTTTTACAAAGCCTGTGTAAAAAAGTTCAGATACAATATCGTTTTTAAATTAAAGATTCATCGAGTTTGGTTGAAATGGTCAGATTTCACTGTTCTATTGTTTTCTGATCCATTATGTACGCTTGAGATTCTTCAATAATTTTAGATAGAAAATAATTTTTATGGGAATAAATAGTCCACAACCTGAAGTATATTGCCCACTAACGAGGAAATCTTCTCACATGCCCACCCCCATTTTCAGTGATATTCCGTCTATCTATAGAGGATAATGTGCTAGCAGAAAGTCTAAAAGGATTTCTGCTCTTGATGCTTCTGTCTAAAGTTGTGAAACTTTTTTATTCACTTAGGAAAGGAGATACGGTTACACCAGGATTTTGGTATGTCGGTCAAAACTGAGAATTAAGAGGTGAGATAGTTTGTTATTGTGCTAGTAGTCTGCCAATAGCACAAAAATATTGAAGCCTTCAACTTGTGTATAAGTTGATTAAAAGAATTTTTACTCTCATAAGAAAACTTAATTTTCCGAAAATGTTCTTGTTTATTCTGATTCACATTTCTTTTGTGTCCAATAGATCACACATGTTTCTGTATTTGTTTGTTCTGTCATAACCGTTCTGAAATATGGAACAGACACATATTTAATTAGCCTGTCTCATGTACACGTTTTCCTACATTTGGGAAAAAAGAAAAGAAAATGACAATGACATTTGACAAAGAAAATGGGATAACGTGCACATGAGGCAGGTTAATTAAATATGTGTCTGTTCCATATTTCAGAACGGTTATGGTATAGAGCAAACAAATACAGAAACATGTGTGAGCTATTGTAGAGATCGACACAGGCCGAAAATTTCTGGGTCGGCCCAACCTGACTAAGAATACCTAAGGCCAAAGTCCGGTCCGACCCAATCAATCTTAAAAATTTTTGAGCTCGGCCTAACAACGAAAAGTTGAGGCCTGAGTTCGGCTCGGCCCTTTTCAACTGTTCACGGCCTCCTACATCCTTAATGATAGCTTTGGTTGACAAATTGGTATAAATATGCTTGTAACACAACTCTATCATTTATATTCACATGACCTTTTGTTCTTATTTCTTCAACGTTTGTATGCACTAGATAAACCTGTTTATTCAGTGACATGGCTGCACGCAAGGTAAAGTGATATTAATAGACTACTCGTTCTGTTATGAGATCCTAGAAAAGTCCTCAGCTTGATCTGACCGGTCTTAAAAGCTTTCTAGACCAGCACGGCTCGTGCCGATCTATGATCTACTGGCCACAAAAGAAACGTGAATCAGAACAAACAAGAACATCTTCGGAAAACTAGGTTTTTTTTATGAGAGTAATTCTTTTAATCAACTTATACATAAGTTGAAGGCTTCAATATTTTTGTGCTATTAGTAGACCACTAGCACATGTGAGAAGGTTCCATCGTAAGTGAAATTAAAAGATAACAAGTTTCATTTTGACTAAACATCTGCCTGAAGTTGCACTGTGTGACTCTTGGTAGATTTCCTTATTTTATGCCTTTGTCTGATCATCACTCTCCTTGTTAAAATTCTCGGCAATCAACTATCTTACGGTCTAAAACACTTGTGTTAGCCGAAAATTTTCTCCTCCAAATATTGAGAGAATCGGATCATTTGCCTAATCGTGTTTGTCTTTGTTCCACTCAAAGTAATTTTTGTGTTAAATCGCTTCTCTTGGATATATGTACATAATTATGTAATAAAGCATTTTTTAACCAGTTACTTTCCGCTGAAGCCTTGTCTTCTAAGTTATGATAACAGAATTCTTTGTTTGATCCTAACGTTAAATCTAATATTGACCATATCATCTCAGATGTCTCCTTACTTTATTAAACATTTCTTCATCGATTTTGTTCATATCAACTTCACTTTCTTCATCTTTTGGCTGATCATCATCCGACACCTCTTCTGGTTTTTCAGGCCTACAGAAGTAATATAATTTACTAACCAAGTTCATGTAACTCTTACCACTTACCTTCTCCATGTGAAATTGGTTTTTTTTAATGCCTCATCAGCTATTTTGTTCAAAAAATAAACAACTGATTCACCACTGCCTGAACGTAATTTATTTGCACCAAAATTAATTTCATATCCCTAAGCAAATGAAAATCTATCGACATCTTCTACAACAAAAAAATTAAAACAATATACCATTTTTCTAAATTGTCCAATGATATTTTGTAACAGCACACTCTGATCATCATCCTAACACAAAACATAAGTATATGAGATAAAAAAACACATTACGTAGCCAAAGTAGACAAGTCATGTACTTCACTTGGTTTCTCATATTTATATCCTGCTTTTTGAAATAGCCATGATGCGAGAGATAGAAACGAATGTAATTGTTCACCAGAATTTGTTTGTATAGCAAAATAAATTCTATAGAAAAACAATTACCACAAATACAGTAAGATTTTGTCCTCGATTACTAACCTCGATAGTGGTTTCATTCTCCATTCTGATACATATTCGTTATCATAATTTAATAATTTTAACTTATTATATAAATTTTGCATATCAACAAATATTTGAAAATTAGCACCAGGACTCTCATCAGAAACAGCAGAATCGATTGTTGAAGCATTACTTTTCGATTGTTTAGACATTTTGTTCAGAAAAGACTAATTTCACGTGAAATACTACCTTTTCTAAAAACTTTGTTCGCTAAACATGCATTATTTTTTTAATAAGAACTCATAAGTAATTGGAGAGATATGAAAAAAACGAATGAAAGATGTTAGTACTAATTCCAATAGATTAGTGGTTTTGCTTAATGTTTCACAGTTACTTTACGAATTAACAGACTTGTTCAATTTTTAATTCGAACTCACATAGAACAACGAGTTTACCACTGCCAACCGCGATCCATTCCCTTGTGACCAGCCAACGTCTCTATATAAAGCTTTTTGTATAAGATAATTTCTACATCATTGAGTACTTAGTGCTTGCAACAACTGACAACTCCATTAGATATATATGATTTATTTTTGACTGCTTTAATAATTACCTAACATAGATGGTCAAGAATCCCCCTTCCTCACATCCGTTTGCTTATTCCCTGTTTGCGTTTTTTTTTTGCGTTTTTACTTTTTAGTCTTTCTCTGTTTACACAGAAGATAAGAACAAAACGCGATATAACTCTAGGGTCAGTTGAATATCGGATGCCCTACCTTTTATCTTCACTGTTTCTAATGCGAATCTACAGTAGAACATTCTTTTTAACTAAAGTCTACGGTAGAGAGAGTGCAATTAGTTTTTAGTTAGGAAATGAACTAAGACTTACACGTAAACCAGTAAAATACGATTCTGCAATAAACCAAAAATAAAAACATTTTTTTTACATACTTGCTTCACTTATTAAGCTAAATACAATGCTTAAGGATACCCCTTCCTTCATGTTGGGCTTTCCGTAGACATGCTATGGAATAAAAACTAAAACTCACCAAGGCTTCATATTTTCAGAACTGAATGGAAACTCAATAGAGCACTTTTTCGTTTTTGTTCCAAGTTTCTAACTATTGCCGTTCACCAGTTTTTCAGAAAATCCGGATTTTCATTGGACTACATTACGCCCCCTTAAATTTCATCCGATCGAGTTAAAAGTTTTACCAGGGATACTCAAGATCATAGCGTGGAGGCATCATTTTCTTTTAGATCTTTACCAAGTTATAGGGTTTTTAAAATTTAAAAACTTGGTTTTTGAAAGTTTTTCGATATTTTTCCTATAACTCGGTAAAGAAAGGTCTAAAAGAAAATTTAAAAACTATGCCTCTGCGCTATAACCTTGAGTACCTCTGGTAAAACTTTTAACTCGATCGGATGAAATTTAAGGGGGTCGTAATGTGACATAATGAAAAATAGAGTTTTCTGGAAAACTGATGAACGGCAATAGTTAGAAACTTGGAACAAAAACGAAAAAGTGCTCCATTGAGTTTCCAATCAGTCCTGAAAATATGAAGCTTAGTGAGTTCACAGTATTTCTACGGAAAGCCCAAAATG